TACTCGAAAGCACTTGAATTTTACGAAAAATCACTTAAAATAAGAGAAAAAGCTCTGCCTCCGAATCATCCCTCATTGGCTACTTCCTACGCTTGCATCAGTCTAGTGTATAACAACATGGGTGACTACTCGAAAGCACTTGAATTTTACGAAAAATCACATCAAATTCTCGAAAAAGTTCTGCCTTCAAATCATCCCAATTTGGCTAGTTCCTACAACAACATCGGTCAAGTGTATAACGACATGGGTGACTACTCGAAAGCACTTGAATTTTACGAAAAATCACTTAAAATAAGAGAAAAAGCTCTGCCTCCGAATCATCCCGATTTGGCTACTTCCTACAACAACATCGGTGCAGAGTATTACCACATGGGTGACTACTCGAAAGCACTTGAATTTTACGAAAAAGCACTTAGAATAAGAGAAAAAGCTCTGCCTCCGAATGATCCCGATTTTGCTCAATCCTACAACAACATTGGTATGGCGTATTCCGGCAAAGGAGACTACTCGAAAGCACTCTCATTCTTAGAAAAGGCACTTTCTATTCGTCAAAAATCACTTCCGTCAACACATCCTCTGATTAAACAAACAAAAGATAACATTGATCATGTTAAAAAGAAAATGTAAACGGTTGTTTTTGCTTGCTCAATAAATTTATTCACATTGCTAATCGTTTCGATTTTTCTCGGTTCATTTTGGCTTATTCGCGCGCGCGCGACAAGGGAGAGATCCCCTGTCAATGCCATAGGTACCACAGGCGGACCACGCCGGACTGGTAGGGCAATGGCCGAAGGTATGCCGTATGAACGGTAGGGACCAACGACACATAGAGGCCTTCCCCAGCACTACACTGCTTCGCTATGGCAAAGTTTCTCTACCTATTGAATCAGACAACGTAGTTCTCTGACCCACACTAATAACACTCATAACTCAACTCAACTCATCTCAAAAGTACTCATACTCATAATAACTGATAGTATTTATTTTTTCTCAAAATAACTTATCTCAACTCAACTCAACTGAATATGTAAAAAAAAATTTTTTTCTTACTTCTCAATGTTGTATAATATCGAAACTCATCTAAAAAAAACAGAAAAAAAAGTATTATTAAATATATAATGAATTTATTATTTACCTCATATAGAATTTAATAATATAATTATCATTGTAAATAATATAATAGTAATAATAAATAATAATCCCGGGTATATAAATACATTGTAATGCATTATAATAATACAACTCGAGTGTATACTGTTTCATAATGATGTATTCATGTTTTTATATACCCTGAGATTAATTGACCGATGTTCAAAATTTTGATTGATTTTTTATCAATCATTCCACTTCTGTTTTAATTGATTTGATGATTTTTTTTCTCGTCTGACATACATCTATATCATGTCATCGTCGACGAAAAAAAATTTTCATGTTACATATATATAGAGGGTGTTGTCTTTCTCTTTCACATTGCTCGTCTTCGAATAAGAATACAAGACAAGAGAATTCATCAACTCGAGTAACTTAAAAAATAGGTGTGTTTTGTTTTTACAAAATGTGATCTTTATTTTAAGAATGTCTGAAATATATACATGTCTAAATTATATAGAATAAGATAGCGTTTGTCTCTCTACTGAGCAATATAATTTTTTTTGGACTTCTTCATTATCTTCAATATATATGTATTTGAGAAATTTCTGAGAAACAACACATGTAAGATTGATGAATTTCTTTCATTTCAAATGATTTTCATCGTTACTGAATTTTATTTTCATTGGAATATAGTGCTTCTCAGGATTTATCTAATTTTCGTCCAAAATGTATCAACTTGTACATAACAAACTATGAATGATGTTTATTAATTTATATTGTTATATTCATCGATATATAGTAATGAATATACAGGGTGTCTCATAATTATAAGACCCCCTACTAAATTTCCACAAAAATAAAGATTTCCTTAACTAAAGAGTTTCATTTCCAATCTAATGTCACCATCTATGGACACCTAGTAGTAGTCTATCATATACCATATTGGTTTCAATTTGGTCGATTACCATTAATGAATAAATTTTAAAAAAATTGAATCACTGTGTCTCATAATTATAAGACCCCCCCCCCCTCATGATATAAAAATATTTAATTAATTCAAACTTTATCAACTCAAATAGTCCGTTTTAGGACTTATTCGAAAGAGGACACATGTAGCTATATGCTATAAAAAAATTAGATTGAACAAGACTATAGTCGTATCAACTAAAAGTAGAACTTTAATTTTGATTATCTTTTCACAACTTTTATAAATGTTATTATTCATTCTCCATTTAATAGATATTGTGTCTATATATGATTGATATGTGGTTGTGTAGTACAACTCATATAGAGTTCATACCATTGATATTGTTTCATTAACAATGAACAGAAATGAATAAATAAAAATTGTTTAGTTTTGAGGGTGTGGGTATTGATTTGATTTTTACTTGTTCATATGTCATTGCCAAATGGATGATTATATGACTAATAGAGAGAGAACACTAT